GGAGTTTTTAAAGGATTATGACTTTCAGTTACTTTATCATCCAGGGAAGGCGAATGTGGTGGCTGACGTTTTGAGTAGGAAGGCAGTTCAGATGTCAGCAATGATGATGGATGAATTGAGATTACTCGAGCAGTTCAGGGATCTGCATCTAGATGTAGAGTTTCATGATATTAGCATTAGTTGTGGTAGCATTACCATTACTAATGATTTGCTCGAGATGATCAGAGATAAACAATAGGGTGATATGACATTGAAAGGTGTTATAGATCAGTTAGGATCCGAGTAGACCATTGACTACAAAATGGGTGAGTATAGTATTCTGAGATTCAGAGGAAGGATTTGTATTCTTGTTAACCAAGAATTGAAGAGAGCAATACTATATGAAGGTCATCGGAGTCGTATGAGTCTACACCCTGGTATGACTAAGATGTATAAGGATCTGAAGAAGGTTTATTCATGGTTTGGTATGAGGAGAGATATTGCAGAGTATGTGGCTGCTTGTTTGACTTGTCAGAAAGCAAAGGTGGAACACCAGAGGTCGGGAGGAATGCTACAACAAATAGAGATACCTGAGTGGAAGTGGGATATCATTACCATAAATTTTGTTACCCATTTACCACAGACAGTTCGGGGGCACGATTCGATATGAGTGATAGTGTATAGATTGACGAAGAGTGCACATTTCCTCCTTGTAAATATGAGGATATCTATGGCTAAGCTGACACAACTATATATTTGTGAGATTGTCCGATTACATGGGGTGTCATCTAACATTATCTCAGATAGGGATCCTAGATTTACTTCACGATTCTGGCAGACTTTATAAAAGACATTAGGTACCCGACTTAGGTTGAGTTCAACCTATCACCCCCAGACAGATGGACAATCAGAGAGGACTATCCAGTCACTAGAAGACTTATTGAGGTCTTGTGTATTGGATAATCTAGGAAGTTAAGATGATATCCTTCCATTAATAGAGTTCACGTATAATAACAACTATCATGCTAGTATCAAAATGACACCATATGAGGCTCTTTATGGGAGGAGGTGTCAAACACCTTTATGTTGGTATCAAGATGAGGAGAAAGCGTTGATCGAACCTGAGTTAATCCAGCAGACTACAGAGAAGGTCTGGGAGATACAGGAGAAACTGAGAGCTACTATGAGTAAACAAAAATCATATGGAGACCAGAGGAGGAGGCCTTTGGAATTTGAGGGGGGAGACCATCTATTTTGAGAATCAGACCTAGTACTGGAGTAGGAAAGGCAATTAAGTCTAAGAAGTTGACTCCCAAGTTTATTGGCCTATATCAGATTTTGAAGAAGGTAGGTCTAGTGGAATATCAATTAGTGTTGCCACCTCATTTGGCGAATCTGCATAATGTATTTCATGTATCTCAGTTGAGAAAATATGTGCATGACCCCAGTCACGTCCTGTAGTCAGATGATGTGCAGATTAGAGACAATCTATCTGTTGATGTGAGACCAGTGAGGATAGAAGATTCTCAACTGAAGCAACTTAGAGATAGAACCATCTCAATGGTGAAGGTAGTATGAGATCAGAAATCCAAAGACTTTACTTGGGAGATGGAGGATATATGCGAGAGTCATATCCATATCTATTCCCAAGTAAGTTCATTTTCGAGGACAAAAATTTTTGTGGAAGGAAGATTGTGACGTGATGTTTTATTATTATATATTATAATAATATTACTATGCAAGAAAACTTCGTAACGAAGTTTTCCTCATGAACAATAAAAAAATTTATTTTATATATATGTACGTACGGAAAGGGGGAGGAGGCGGAAAAAATTCAGCAAGTAGTTCTCTTTCTCATCCTTCTTCTTCTTTTGTCTAAATTTCAAGCAACGAGACTCTACTCGTGCAAGATCCGGTGAAACGGAGAGAACTTGAATTAAGTGGGAAAACTTCGGTAAAAATACCACACCAGGTAAGGGAAAGTTTAATTCATTCAATATATGAGACTAAATTGTTGAGTACTCGTGAATAAGGAATAAGAGTGGAAATCTGAACATTAGAATTATTGATTTTGAAGATTTCTCATGTTTTGCAAAACTTGAAATTTTGTTGGAATTCTTGAAATTAAGGATGAATTGTAAGGTAAAATTGTTGTTTCCAACTTAAATTAGATATAAGTTATGTTTAATTTGAATTTGGGACTAGTTTGGTTGCCTAAAACTAAGTAATTTGAAATGTGCTAAAATCTGCAAAATTTGATACTGTTACCGGATGCGAGGAAGAAAAAAGGGACATGGAAGGAATTTTTAAAAATGTTCAAGGGTAAAATAGTCATTTTCGGGATATTGAAGGAATTTTCGAAAATGTTCAAGGGTAAAATAGTCATTTAGGGACATACATGAAAATTTCAAAAAAGATTAAGGGCAAAATAGTAATTTAATGATTTAAAAAAAAGAATATATATATATATATATATATATATATATATGTATATTTAAAATATAGAATGAATGTAACAGTTTTAAAGATTCGAGTAGTGTGTTGTGACGTGTGTGGGTCAGACTGAGTCTAAGGGCTCATGCCCAAAATCAGTCATGAGATGTTATGTATTGGCTAGTCTGAGCCGGAGGGTTGGTGCCCATAATTAGTCAAATACTATTATTTATTGACCCGAATGAGTCGTGAGGACAAGTGGTCCAGAATCCGGCAGATGTGAATAATTTTTGTTGTGTTTGAATGGTATCCGAGGTGGTACAGAGTACATTAGTGTAATAACCATGTTGGAGGATTCTGAATGAGGTCCCAGATTTCACTGATTGGTCGGGGTCAGGTAGACTACGAGATCAGGTGGTGAGAAGTCAATGGGGGATGACTGGTGGCGCCCTCGGAGGGGTACTGCAATATGAGTGATGAAGGGCACCAATAATCCTATTCTGTGTGGAGAGTGGTCAGAATGCTACTGCGAGTGCCGATCACAATGTGTCCACAGATGATATCCTCTGAGTTCGGGCATAATTATGGTAGACTTCCGGAAGACGTCTTAGTGTATTGATGATAATATGTAATTATTACTTCTATATCTATTTTATTATATCAAATGATTTAATACTTACCCCTAGTTTTCCATGTGGATGAAACTGCGATAATCACTTTTATGTGAGAGCAGATCAGGAGTTGAGAGGTGGAGATGCGACTACTGGATAGTATGAATAGTTCAGTGGGTAGCTTTGTAGGAGCTACATTTGTATGTATCTATATAAATAAATTATGTTACTATCGTCAATAAACTTTTATTTCGATCTATATTACAATTATAGTAATACAATGTAATATAGATGTTGTTATTTACTTGTTTACTATTTTGTGAAAATATTATTATTGTAGCGATTTCTAGAATCGTTACATTAATTATTAAATTTTAAAAATAAATGATAAAATAAAAAATAAACATTTTTTCTTATTTTTTAAGTCGACATCTGCTCTTTGGTATTTAAAGTATCTCCTCTTTAATTCGAGATAAACTTTTTCTTATAAACTAATAGTGTATTTTTTATTTTACATAAATTAGCGTAATTTGGGAATAAAACGTGTCAGACGTAAACCTGTTTCTTTTATTAACTAGTGACAATTTAATTGTTTTACATAAAGTAACTATCATAATTTAAGAAATAACGTTAAACCATAATGGTTCATTTATGAATTTAATAAACAGGTACGTCCAACCAAGTTTCATAAATTAATTATTTAAAATTTGTTCAGACTATTTATATGAATAATTTTATTTTAATTTTAAATAATTTTTTTATTTTTAAATAATTTAAATACGATATCTATAATAAAAAAATTTATTTATTTATAAGTAATTCTATCAATTACCTTTAAAAATATTTTAAAGATAATTTGTGGTCTTGTCTGCACTCGATATAAAGATATAAAACAATTCACATGACATATCAAACTACCTATAAAACAGTTACGACATGTTATTTAACTTAAAAGATAAAATTTTCATTAAAATACTTAAATAAAATATTAATTATTTAAAATATTTTTTATTAAAAATAATTATTTAATATGATAAATTATTTAATTATTTTAATAATTATTTTATTAAACATCTTAAAAAATAAATGAGAATATTTTTAATTTATAATAAAATTAAATTAATAATAAATTATTTAAAATAATGTAAAATCATAAATATTTATTTTAAAACAAAAAGTAATTTATTTAAATGATTTTTATTAAAAATATCAAATATGTACGTAAGAATATTTTGAAGTATGAAAATAAAAATAAATATTCAGTTTACTTTTTATCTCTTAATTTTTAATTAAAATATAATATTTTATTATATAATCATATATTTTATATTTTATATTTTTTTTAAATTAAAATTAATAATAATTTATATATATATATATATATATTCATTAAAATTTGAATTAAAAAAATATGATGATAAAATTTTTTTAAAGAAAAAATATCCTAATCCCTTAAAATTTTATAATTTATATTAACATTTTATAATTTATATTAATATTTATTATTATAAATTTAATAATTATTTAATATATTTATTAATGTATTTATAAATTTATTTTTTATTTTTTCATATTTATTTATTATTTATTAATAATATATTATTAAATTTTCTCTTAATCAATTATCAGTTGACAGATCATAAGGGTTATCTCCAACGGACGTTTTTGTCTGTTATAATTGATGTTGTTGAAATTGTATTAACTATGCTTTAATACGTACATCTCGTATAAAAGTCTTATTGACATATGAGAAATTACTCAAAACTTCTTTAGTTCCTGTGGCCTATAGTCTCAGAAAAATATTATTAACACTTTTATTTGTATTTTAAATATATTATTTTCATAATTAATAATAACAATAAAAAAAACGCATAAGAAAGATTGATATAAACAACATGATAAAATAATTTTCACATTGACAACATATTTTATTATTATTATTGTTGATTCAAATAACACATGGGTCCTTGAAAATCCTTAATCTAAAATTAAGACGAAGGAAACAAGTTTGAGGAAATGCTTTGGCTTCATATTCTCCAACACAACAGTTTGATAGTAGTTGAGAATGGGGGTGTCGGTGGTGGCATTGACGACGAGTCTGTAAGCGGTTCCTCCTTTTACTGTCTTAGTTTCACCGACTATGACCTGTATAAACCTCAGACTCTGACCAGATTTCCTGTCAAATTCTCTAATGGCGAAATTCGCGATCTCTCTCACGTGAGGCTTATCGACGTTCTTAATAGGATTCCAACCATCACTACTGTCCTTTCTGCCAATTGCACAGACGAAGAAAACAAACGTCACAAAAATACACGTTAGTTTCATTCTGAATCTAACTCTTTTTTTCTTTTCCTTATCCTTAATCTTAAAGAGTGTCTGACGATTAGTGTCACTCATCTCTGAGACTTGATTCCAATTTATACCTGAAAAAAACGCGTGGATGGATGGGTCCACCACATATAATATTTTTTAATTAAAAAATAAATTTAACATTTTTTAAATATAAAATAATATTATATTATATTTAATTATAAATTTAAATTAATCTTATAAATAATATATTTTTAAAAATTACTTATTCAATTCAAATTTTTATTAATCTATTTATCTAAATATATGTATTTAATTTAAAAAAAAATAGAATAAAAGAGATGAGAGAAAATTAAAAATAATTAATAATTAAATAATTTATAAAAATGATGTATCTTTAATAAGGTTATAATAGTAAATATACTAATTAATCTTTAATAATTATATTTCGGTATCATATTACAATAAATAAAAAATAATTAATTCATCTAATTATATTTTAACTTTTTTAATAGTATTTCATTTTCGTTCATTATTAAAAAGTTATTTCATTTATTTCTCAATAACCATAGAAAAAAATGTATCTATGTATTCTTTATAAAATATAGATGTTATTCATTTATTAATTATATCTTATTTTAAACTATATTTATTATAAAGAAATTATTTAAAACTGATTTTAGACGGAATGATGATGAAACAATATTAATAAATTTATTAAAAATAATAAAAAAGAGCATTTATATTAATTTATGTAACCCAATCTTAAAATACACATATCTAGAAATAAATGAAATAATATCAATATATAATTATATTTTTAATAAAAAATATAAAAAAATGTCAAATAAATTTATTAAAATTCTAATAATAGGAGCAGGATAAAAAATATGTTTAATAAATTTATAAAATATCCTTTATTATTAAAGCTTAATTTTAAAAATTATATATTATAGTAAATATGAAGGAGTATAAATTAACAATTTAAAAAATGTCAAATATTTATTTATCATAAAAAATATAGCTTATTATTTTTAATGTGATATTAATACTTATTTTTTTAATGATAATAAAAATATTTTATTAAAATAACAAAAAAAATATCAGAAATATGTCAATGAATCCTAGAAAATTTTAAAATTAATTATAAAATTATTTTGAAATGAACGTGAATTTGATATATTTTAGAATACTATAAATCTGTTTATTAAAGGGAATATAAACTATTTATATGGACTTAATAATTGAGTTGGATAAGATAATTGATAAGAATATTTAACATTTTTAAAAATATTAGGTATATATTTAATAAAATAAAATTCAATATTTTATAATTTTAGAATATTATATTCAGATATTATTTTATTAAAATATTTAATATCTTTTTAATTATTATTATTATTATTTTGATTACATACACTCGTTTCTTTTACTAACAAAATTATAATAAAAACATATATCTTAAAATTCAATAAAATCTCCAAAAATAAGAAGAAATGACATATTTTATTAGCTTCCACGTGTTTACTAGTCAGTGAAGTTTAATTATTAATTTATATTAATTGATTAGTATTATGATATTAATGTAAAAGATGTTCTTCAAATAATAAAATTGAAAATAAAAATATTATTTTAATATAATTACATAAATAATAAAAAATTATAACAAAATTTTTATAATCAATTTTCTATAATTATATAATTATATTAAAATAAATTTTGTATTCATAAATCATTTTAACTAAATCTCTTTCTTGTAAATAATATTTTTCTCATTGATCTCGTTAAGTGCATAATTTTAATTATTTCTTATAAAAAATTGAACTCTCCACTGTCAAGTATAAAATATACCCTCTTTATTTTAAAATATACAAGATTTTTAAAATTTGTAAATAGTTTATAAATTTAAAATTTTATTAATTGTATTTTGTAACTAGTCTGTCCAAATTTATTTAAATTATTTTATTTATTTAATTATTTATTATTAATTATAATATTTTATATTAATTATTATCGTCTAAGTCTTATAAGAGGTAATCGATAAAAAATAAAACTCAATCCATCACTTAATTTAAATTATATTACTCTATTGTTTAAGAATTTACTTGTATTTTTAAGTGATTTTTTTTTTAAGAAAAATTATCCATTCTTAAAGTTAAAGGTGAACACAAAGTCGAAACAATCCACCGTCTCGTCAAATCCTTTTATTACTCGATAAGAATATATTTTTATTTTTAATTATATTTATTATAAAAAATAACAAATTATTAAATGATTTTATATGAAGAGAATATTAAAATAATAAAAAACCTAATAAAAGAATTACAAATTTATTATTAAAATTATTAAAATTTTAATGGTTATTTAATAAGACACAATCTTTTAGTCTTATATGAAATGCCATTACCATCCCCATTAAAGCTCACAAACTTCTATGAAACGTCATTACTATCCCATTAAAGCCCACAATAAATACCAGTGAAAGGTCACTTTCGCAGTCTTTTTACATGTGAGAGCATCTGCACAGGGAGATTAACTAAAGTTGTTTGACAATAAATATTTTATTATAAATCTTATCCTTCATTTTTAACCAGAGTTATTACTAAAAGTTATAAGGGATATTTTTAATAAAAAAATTTAATTATAATGGTTTAATAATAAAATTAAATATTTTATTATAGATATTATAATTAAGTTGCTTCAAATATTGTTAGAATTATTTATCTAATTAACTTTTTTCAATTTTAAGTAATTTTTTCTATTTTTAAGTAATTCAGATATATGACCCATAATAAAATATTCATTTTTATTTTTAATCAATTCTTGATAACAATTTTCATTGAAGATGAAATAAAAGTAAATATTTTATTATAGGTTACTTAGAAATAGAAAAATTACTTAAAATTAGAAGAAAATTGTTTGGATAAGCAACTCTAACCATGTTTCAAAAAATTCATATGTGATCTGTGAGGCTCATAATAAAATTAAATATTTTATTATAGGTCTCACAGTTAATTTACTTAAAACATGGTTAAAGTTATTTAAATAACTTTCTTATAATTTTAACCAACTTTCTTCCCTTTTAATATCTTATCAATACCAACATTATTATTATTATTATCACTATTATTATTATTTATTATTTTATTTATGAATATTATTATTATTAATTATTATTATTTTATTTATGAATATTATTATTATTTATTTATTATTTTAAAATTTTATTTATGAATATTATTATATTTATTATTTTTATTTGCTATTTTATTATGAATAATATTGTTATTTAGTTATTTTAAATTTTTATTAAATACTATTATTTTATTTATGAATATTATTATTATTTATTTATTATTTAAAATTTTTATTTATGAAAATTATTATATTTATTATTATTATTTATTATTTTATTATGAATAATATTGTTATTTAGTTATTTTAAATTTTTATTAAAGACTATTATTTTATTTATAATTATTATTATTATTATTATTATTTAGTTATTTTTAAATTTTATTATTTGAAAAATAAATATCATTAATAAATTAATTACTTTTATAAGAAAAATATTTTTTAATTTTAATGATTGTTTTTCGATCGATTAAAGGTAGTATAAACTTATAAATTTTATATATTTAATTTAAATGATAAATATTTATCTCATATCTCACTTTTATTAATATTTAATAAAAGATAATAATATCTTAAAATTTAATTAAATAAATAATTTGATAAGAATATATCATAATATTCAAGTTAAATTAATTTGATGTTGAAAGTATCATGGTCTCTTTTACTTAAACTGATATGATTTTTCGTCATTAATTAACATCGTTTAATTGTTTTCGCACAAATTAGCGTAATTTAGAGAAAAAACGTGAATTTATTTAAAATTTGTGTTCGCTAAATCTTTTGTGTTTGTATATATAATTATACTATACAAGGGGAAGAGAGATAATTCAAATAAATGGATATTACTAGTTTGGATTGGGTTTTATGTATAGAAATGTAGAAAAAGAAAGATTAGTTTCACTTGGTGTAAGACTTGGAATTGTTTAATAAATCAAAGGTCTTATTTCTTTTAAATATGATATTTAACATTTTTACCTTTGAAGCTTATTTTGTTGTCTTCAATACTACTCATCCAATTCATTTATTTACCTCTAATCCAATTAACTTTTTTTTTTTCTTTTTAGTTCTCTTCATTTCACTCTATAATTAAAACAAATAATTTTATAAACTCACAAACTTATTTCCATTAATAAAAATGCTTAATTGCTTGTGTATAAGTGAGCAATTGCGCGAATGATAAGAGAAGATTTACATCCTTTTTATATATATTTTATTTTATTGATTAAAATAGTAGACATGAGTAGTGTAATGATGTTTATTTAGTCTCTTCTCCAACATAATAATTGTTTAAATGAGAGTTTTTGGAGTTACTTGTAATGACCATAAAAATCGTTAATATAATGATACATTCGCAAAATAGTAAATAACAACATCTATATTACATTATATTACTTGTAATTGTAATATAGATTAAAATTCGGTTCATTGATGGACCCTCAAAATATAGTAGCATAGTTTATTTATATAGATACATGCAAAAGTAGCTCCCACAAAGCTACCTACTCAACTATCCCTGTTGTCCGAGTAGTCGCATCTTCACCTCTCAACTTCTCATATGCTCCCATATAAAAGTGATTATCGCAGTCTCATCTACATGGAAAAATAGGAGTAAGTATTAAATCATTCGATATAATAAAACAAATATAAGAGTAATAATTACATATTATCATCAATTACAAATTATCAATACACTAAGACGTCTTCCGGAAGTCTATCTTAACTATGCCTGAATTCAGAGGCTATCATTTGTGGGCACATTGTGATCGGCACCCATAGTACCATTCTGACCACCCTCCACACAAAGTAGGATTATTGGCGCCCTTCATCACTCATACTGGAATACCCCTTCGAGCACGTCACCAGTCATCCCCTATTGACTTCTCACCAGTGGCGGATTTTGACCATTGATCTTGGATGGGCCAAATAATATATTATTAATAAATAATAAATAA